GTTTGATAGTTTCTCTTTTTTCTTTTTGTGATTGTGTAGCATAGTCTAAAAAACCCTACTCTATCTTTTCAGCCTTAATACTCAAATCTTACTTCTATCTTCCATTCATCTTTTTTCCCTTCCAGTTTAATTGTACAATTCAGACAGGCTGAAAATAATATTTTATAAATTCCGCTACTGCAAAATGGCATAGCTTTGCACTGTCCTGGTTTTATTATGCTGTAGCTTTGTTGTTTGTATACAGGCTGATTAACCTTCTTCTGCCTCTTCAGAGAATCCTTTACAGTCCGCTTGTTAGGTTTTTTTTTTTTTTTTTGCTCTTCCTTGGTGCACTAAATGCACCCTGGACAAATTTATTTGGCTGAGTCCCTGCTCAGTGGGGTTTGTGCTGAGGCCTCATCTGCTGCCCTGCTCCTGTAGGGGCAGGACTAGGACAACCTCCCCTAACCTGGATGCTTACCAGCTTCCAGCATTCATGATTATTGGCCATGATGAATGGGGCAGATGGGAAATGCCTCCGAAGAGGAAAGCTGAGCTTAGGCGGCTCTACTTCAGTCCCAAACTGGGTGAAGTTGCTCCAGCTGGCTGTACTGGTGTGATTGTGGGCACAGGGCTGACCAGCCCAAAGGAAACCCTCGCCATGCCCTTCTCTTGCTTCCCCACGCATCAAATACATAAAAGTTTATTTCCCTATGCTTAAGTGACTTAACGGGAAGTCACCAACGCATGTGTCACTGTCGCAAGGCAGTCATTCTCCAGATAGGGGCGCAGCTGATGAATTAGCCGAAGCTGGAGGAAAGCACTCCTCGCCACTGCTGTTACCTGAGCTTCCAGTGAAAGCTCTGGGTCGAGGAGCACTCCCAAGCTGCGGACCTTGTCCCTAAGAGGGAGTGCAACCCCATTCAGGACAAGGTTCAATTCACCCTCTCCGAAGCCCGATCCACCAACCAACAGGACCTCCGTCTTGTCTGGATTGAGCTTCAGTTTATTGGCCCTCATCCAGCCCATTACCTCGGCCAGGCACCGGTTCAGCACAGCCACTGCCTCACCTGGATTGGTGGAAAACGAGAGGTAGAGCTGGGTATCATCAGCGTACTGATGGTTCCGCAGCCCACACCTCCTGATGACCTCTCCCAGCGGTTTCATGTATATGTTGAACAGCAAAGGGGACAAAATGGACCCCTGCGGTACTCCATGGCATAGCTGCCATGGCGCAGAGCCATAGTCCCCCAGCACCACCTTCTGGAACCGGCCATTGAGATAGGAGCGGAACCACTGCAAAGCAGTGCCTCCAACCCCCAATCCCGCAAGCCTATCCAGAAGGATACCATGGTCGATGGTATCGAAAGCTGCTGAGAGGTCCAGCAGAACCAACAGGGACGCACTCCCCCTGTCCTTCTCCCTGCACAGGTCATCATACAGGGCGACCAAGGCAGATTCAGTACCGTACCCGGGTCTGAAGCCGGACTGCAATGGGTCCAGATAATCAGTTTCATCCAAGAGTGCTTGGAGTTGTCCCGCCACCACTCGTTCTAACACCTTGCCCAGAAACGGGATGTTGGCCACTGGTCTATAATTAGTGGCCATCTCTGGATCCAGTGACGCCTTCTTCAGGACCGGTCGGACTACCGCCTCCTTCAAAGGGGCCGGCACCCGACCCTCCCTCAGAGAAGCGTTAACCACTTCCAAGATCCAGGTTCCAATCCCGTGCTTGGAATCATTTATTAACCAAGACGGGCAAGGGTCCAAAAGGCAAGTGGTTGGACGTACTCGCCCAAGCACCTTGTCCACATCATCGGGCCGCAATAACTGAAATTCATCCAATAAATCTGGACCAGACGGCAGCATTGGTGTCTCCTTTGAAACCTCTGAATCAATAGTGGTGTCCAGCTCGTGACGAATCTGAGCGATTTTCTCCCTGAAATGCCTGGCAAAGTCGTCACAGCGGGTCTTTGAGGGTGGAATCAGGTCTTCCTTTGGACCTGGACGGACCAGGCCTTGCACCACTCGAAAGAGCTCCGCCGGACGGCATTGTGAGGAGGCAATGGAAGCGGAAAAGAATCTCTTTTTTGCCGCCCTCACCGCCACAGCATAGGCCCGATAGTGGGCTCTTAAGTCTTAGTGGACTTCCCGTTTGGACTTCTGCAACGCGCTCTACGTGGGGCTACCCTTGAAGACGGTCCGGATACTTCAATTGGTCCAAAATAGAGCTGCCAGGCTGCTGACGGGGACTGGACGTTATGTTCACATGACTCCAGTTCTCCGTCAGCTTCACTGGCTTCCCATTGAAGTCCGGGCCCAATTCAAGGTGTTGGTTATGACCTATAAAGCCCTAAACGGCTTGGGTCCTGGTTACCTGAAGGAGCGCTTACATCCTTATATGCCCAGCCGCCCCCTGAGATCGGCGGGAGAGGCCCTTCTCCGGGAGCCCTCCATGGAAGAAGTTAGGAGGGTGGTTACTCGGAGGAGGGCTTTCTCAGCGGTGGCGCCTAAGTTATGGAATGCGCTCCCCAGAGAGGTCCGCCTGGCGCCGTCGTTATTTGTTTTTCGGCGCCAGGCGAAGACCTTTTTATTTAAGCAGTATTTTAAATGTTAATATTATTGAATTTTATTTGGCCAGGGCGGCTTGTTTTATAGTGTATATTTGTATTTTATTGTATATATTTTAAAATGTTATTTTAAATTTTTTGTTGTAAGCCGCCCCGAGGCTTCGGCGAATGGGGCGGCATAAAAATGTTTTAATAAAATAAATAAATAAAATAATAAATGTACTTGCCATACTACATGCTATTTTTCTTTCAATAATTTTGCAATAATATGCAAATATACAGAATACCAATAAATATTATTAATATATATTTACATAAAATACAAGATAGAAAACATTTGTGTGTATCAGTGTGCAAAATATGTCTGTCCTTCATCAAACCAATAAACAGAAGCCAGTTAATTCTAAAAGAGTTTACCCATCTCTTAAACAGATATATTCTTTCATTTTAAATACTTCTACTGTCTTCCAGCTCTTTTAATAAAAGAGAACTAGCTTCACTCCATTTCTTGACAAGAGGGATTTTAGCTGCCACAAATATCTGCACAAATTCTTGTCTGTTGACTTAGAAAGTATTCAAGTTCTGCAGATACAATCACCAGTGGGTCCAAGGGGATAGACAAGCCTTCCCCAACCTAGTGTCTTCCAAACTAAAATTCTCATCATTCTCACTCAGCATAACCAAAGAATATGGGAGCCATAGTACAATGCTTTTGGAGGGTATCATACTGGGAAAATTCAGGATAGTTTGCTTAATTGTTTAGACAATTGTACACGGGATTTGTTCCAAAATCTCTCCCAGGTATGCTTAAATTTTGATAGGATTTCATTTGCACTGGACTACTGAGTGCACTGGAGGAGTGAAATGGATCACGCACCTTGCTTTGTTCCCCTCCCCCTGCTTCCATAGAGATCTTCTGGACTCTTCTGACACAGGACCTGTAATCCATTTTCATATTTTATACATAAATGTATTGATTATTCAGGCTCATGTTCTTTTAAATGAATATGATAACCATACAGTTTGCAATTTTTAAGTTTAAAGGCAATGCCTTTCTTGCTCCTCACTGAGTTGCTGAGGATTACATTCACTTAATACTATTTTCATAAGATTTTTTTAATATAATGGCTGTAAATTCAAATTTTGTTTTGTAGACTCTTAGACTTCCTCCTCCTCTGTAAGAACTACTATCGAAAAAGGTTTGAGAACTTTGTGGGGCGGGGGGGGCAGAATGATATGAGGAAGATCTGACACAACACTGGAAAGAATTGCAATGCTGGAATATATTTCAAACAATCAAAAACACTACTGTAGACTGCAGGTTATATTTGGCTAAACAAAAGATTCTGTGCAGCATAAGACTGTGACTAAGGCTGCAATCCCATTTATATTCAGAACAGGAAAATCCCCCCCCCCCAACTCCCTGCATTAACCCAGCCAGTCATCCTGGTTGGGGAGCACTGGGAATTGTAGATCATTTCCCCCTCTGAACACGTGTAGCAACTGAACCCAAGAGAATGAACCCTTTGTTTACCTCCTCTGGAAACTCAGCGGGTCCTCTCAGACGAACCACTTTCTTGGCCTCAGTTCTCTACCTGCAATATGTGGATGACCATGGCAGCCTATCTTGCAGGGCTGTTGTAGGACTTATTGGGATCAGCTTTGTGAAGCACCCTGTGTGTTCAAGGAAATATACAAATGTGAAACGTTAGGTAAAAATGGATGATTTTCCTCTCCTGTCGGAATTCATGGCAGAATTTGGAAAAATATCACGTGCTTAAACTTCTGAAATGAAAAGGGAGTTTTTGGACTGTACTAGCTATGCTAAGATGAATCGCTGGGGGATACCTATAATTCACTATATAGCAGCCTTTAAACCCACAAACCTGGGACCCACTTTCTTGATTACTAGTTTTTCTCCTGAAAAGGTTGTTTATTGCATCCAACCCGAAATCTCTACAGTGAGAAGGGTGTTAACCAGGCTAAGCGTTTCCTATCAAATAGGATTTTAGCTCCTGTAACCTATCGATATCAATATCCAGAGAAGGATCTCAAGGGACTGAAAAAGCCCCTGCAGGTAAAGAAACTCACTCAAGCAAATAAACCAAACGCAAACACAACTTTGAATGTCCAGGGTTCTGCTACAGTTTGGGAGACGTGGTAGGCAGCAAGACACGTTTGTGGCGTTAGTTGTGTTGCGTGGTAATCAGTGTACACGCGCGCGGGCGCCTTGTTCGCAGGGTTGGCTGGTTCAGGAAGCATGAACAGCTAACACAACGTGATGTTCCTATTGGAAAAAAATAAACAACCCGTAGCTCTCTCTTGCCACTCTAGAGGGAAAAATCGGTTTTTGTTTTGCTTGTTGCAGTACGCTCCAGTGTGGACAGGAAATGACCCCTCCGCCAACTGTTTCTTTAAAACCAAGCAGCGGAGCCTGAGCTATTCAGTCTCTCCCCCTCTCCCATGCTCTATCAGCCTCCCTCTCCCTCTAGCTCGCCAGCTACAGAGGGCTCCCGCAGCAATTCCCAGCCAGTAGTGCTGCTTGCCTCTTCTCTTCTCCTCTCCTCCCCCTCCCCGCTTGCCTCCCCCTCCCTCCTTCCCTCCCCGGCTCGGCTTGTGTGCTGCTTACTTTGTACAGTGAAGAAACACTCAGCCCATGTGCTCTGTACGGATGTTGGTGATCCCCTTCTGTGCGCCGTGATTCTCTGCAAGCAGGCAAGATGTCCAGCACACCACATGACCCTTTCTATTCTTCTCCTTTTGGCCCCTTCTACAGGAGACACACACCGTACATGGTGCAACCGGAGTACCGAATCTATGAGATGAACAAGAGGCTGCAGTCTCGCACAGAGGTGAGTCCCTTCCTCCAGCTCGGTTTTTAAAACTGGCCATGCTCAGCTCGAGAGCCTGCATTCCAGAGCCGGAGCACACGGTGCGGTGATTAGATGCTGGAAAGAACGTCCCTCCTTCGCCTGGGACTTTAATTGGGTATTTACTTGTTCCCCTTCTATGCCGTGCAACTCTTAACACACACAAAAGGCAAGCTGTGGGCGAGGGAGGTCCTCTGAAATTGCTAAAATGTATCGTAGCACTTAAGCGGTCTGTTTTAAAATGCCAGACTGAAGTCTATTTTCGTAGCACGCTGATTTTTGCCAGGAAACCTCTTTGGGGCTTTTTACAATCACAACATTCCAAAGGTATTGCTTGTAGTAAGGGACCGTGTGTGTGTGTTTTAAGTGCTTCTTGTTTGAGGGGGTGGGGATGGATTACCTGTAATTCCACCACCCCCAGTTATCAACACTGAGCATAAAGGCGGAAAAGAGGCTTAGAGTTGGTCAAACTTACTGCCTTATGTACATGACAGATGCGGACCGAAATAAAATGTATTGTTTTGTTAACAGCAGAAATAAACAGTTCAACATTCTCATCCCACAAAGGATCAAGTATGCTAGAATCTCTAACTGATTTTGTACCTGTATGTGAGTGTGAAAGAAGGCGAGTGTATGCATAGCTGAGAATAAAACCTCTGAACGGAAAAAAGAGTAGAAATATTGCCCCTTGCAATCAAATGATTTAATGAAGCAGTACTTCCAGGGACGGGGGTGGGAGGGGGGGAGAAAAGTGCTGCATTTCTTCCTCATGTTTCTTCAGCGCCCCCCCCCCATGGTTACTTTGTTGTTCCAAGTAGTTTCTTTCGATGAGTATAGTTGGAGAAGTATAAATCTTAGAACTATAAGTGTTCTGGGAATGAAATGCCTTCAAAGTTAGTGAAGAATTTTGGCATATTTTGTGAGCTCTGCTGCTGGTGATGGCATAACTTTTCAAGGAAACTCAAAGTTTCCCTAAAAGAAACAGACTCCTCAGTTGTCAAATGTAATGATGGGCTGAATGTGTAGGATCTAGTTAACAAGAAGTGACCTGCTTTCTGATTGGTGAAATGGCAGACAGCAACAGATTTCCAAGCACTTATAACACTGCTGATTTTTTTCGGTGGGGGGGGGTGTTACTTTGATTTTGTCTTCTGTTTTCAGTTTTGAATCTGCTTTCATAACACCCATGATCTCACAGAGACTTGCTGCTCCCATGGTCAAGTTAAATGTTGTCATGTTAGTTGTAGGGTGCAGGAGTGGATGCTGCAAAAAGTGGAAGGCTTTTGATGTTGTTTGTCAGGGTTTCTGAAATTCGTGGACGTCAAAACTGAAAGCATGTTAAAATTGCCACAGAATTTCACCTGAACTTTATGTTCACGTGATTTTGTGCAGTCCTAATGAAATATTTGGCAAATTTCAAAAGGAGTTTTGATCTAGACTACTGGCATTTGTGCATAGTATTGTGCGTGTCTGTAACAGGATAACCCCCCTATCCCAGTGTGTTGAGTTTGTAAACTAGACTTTCTGATTTGTGGCACTTCAGCTTTGGTACAGCAGTTTTGTTTTTGAGCAACCTATTCTCTTATGCTGGAAGAAGCATCACCCTCCCACCTCTGGAATTGCATAAAAATGGTCCCCTGTAAACTTATTCATATGAATTGATCCAGATTTGGCCCATGGCCAGTTTAGTGTGTAGGCTGTTTACACAGTGCTTTACTGGGTGTGCCACTTTGTACTTAGAGGATGATGACAGCTTATCCCTCTTGTTTCCTCCGACTTTTATAGACTTCTTAAACTTTGCTGGCTGCTCTCTTACATCTTCCTATATGTGGGATTTGAGGTTTACCACTATCTCCGTTCCCATAGACATGCCAACAGAAAGAGAGAGAAACTGAAAATGTAACCTTCACTATAAATATGTATTAAAAATCATAGTGTATATACTCAAGAACCAGGAAATGCTGCCCAGTTATGTGGAAACGGACTCACATCCAACCTGTGGGAGCAACTTCATACTGCAATCTTATTGTAAATATAAGTGTAGGATTAGAATATTTTTGAGAGTACTTTCTGATACATGGAGCAGCTATTTCTTCCTCGGACAAGAAATCAAATACCTTCTAAATAAAACAGATGAGTTATTCAAGAATCTGAATTCCTCTATTAATCATAACTACAGTTTAAGAATTTAAGTGATTTTGCATGGCAAAAATATATTTGTATTCTAAAAATGAGTATTCGCATGTTCATTTTAGAATAGGAATTTTCATGTGGTACTTTTATGAATGTCTGAGAAAGTGTGGGCACCCAATTTAAAAGAGAAATTGCTTCAGTGATTGGTTGAGCCCCAACTAAAATTAATCTCAAGCTTGGAAACTGTTTTAGTACTAGAGTTTATGTGAAATAATGGTAGAGTGCTTCTGAACATGTGCAGAATGTCTGTCCTATAATAGCAACCAGCAGAACTAGTACACAACAGTCTGGAACTGAAATCAAAGGTTACAGGTACACTTGATTCCCAGTTTCTGGTTTAGTCACTGGCTGCCTTGAATAATATCAATAAGATCTGAGTAATAAGAATTGATTGCTTAACACTTTTTCTTACATGATATCAAATTAATTGGTTGTACAATTGGTTGGTCAAAAATGCTGGAGTTTGAATTTCCTGGATTTCCTGGATACGGGCATCTCCTCCCTTCCCCACTCTCCACCCACATGATGCTGTTGTATTAATGTTCTTACTGGCTTGCAGACTTTTTTGTGAAATCTGGACATATTGTCTTTGCAAATAAGGAAAGCAAACTCAGGTGTGTCATAGAATGGCGGTAGCTAATCAAATCTCTGCACTGTTTTCAGACACCTGTTCTGACATCTTCAGATTTTTTTTACATGTGCACCTAAGATGTTTTGTGGGTATATTCCTAAAACTGGAAAAGGTATCTTAAACCATTTTTTTTCATTTGGGTTACTGATTTTGGGAAAATTAATATTAATTTCAAGGGCAAAAGCTGGGATAATTTGAAGGCTTAGAGGCGGAGTCATGGAATCAGGATACTAGGTTGAATCATGTTACTGCCACAAATTTCAAGCGCACCATAATTTTTTCATTCTCATTCCCTTCTCTCTGTCCATTTGTGGTATGGAGGAAATAACACTCAGCTTTATTAACCATAATGTATGTTAAGTGCTCTGAGTGCTCAAAAGCACTATATAAATTAAATAATAAGAATGAAGCTTTAAGAGTTAGTTAAGACTAAGGATGGCATTTTTGTGGCACTGGAAAAAGTTAACTGGAGCCTCTTTCGCCCTGTCTTATTTCCTGACTAATGGGCACTCTCGTATATTTCATTAGCTTTGCTACTGCACAGTGACAAAACAGAGTTTGGGTTGTTTTCAAATCTTGGGTTGTTGTCATAGAATGAGTTCCCTTACCTGTAAACCTTGCTGTATGATTTAAAAATGAGTTGTTTTAACTGCAAAGAACCCAGTTGTTTGTAAACTGTTGTGATTAACAATCCATAGTTAAACCATAGTGCAAGGTTCACATGTAAAGACATGCCCTGTGGTTCAGTGACAGTCCTCAGCTCAATGACAACCTGTATTCAACTTGAACTCTAGGTGAACTGGGTCAAAGACTTCAAGGCTTCTTGAAGTCTTTGACCCAGTGTGTTCAGCTTTAGCAGCAAACTTACAGTGATTATGGAATTCCGGAAACCTTTTCTGTTAAGTTTTGTGGATCCATTCATTTTGAAATAATGAGATAGTCCTTAGAACATAAGACCTCCGACAACTGCTGGTTTTACTTTGGATAGCCAAATTTAATTTGTGTCATAGTTCCAGTTGGTTTATCAATGTGCAGCTTTACAGCCCAGCCCAATGTCTAAAAACACAATCAGTTGAAACAGTGAGGCTGGGTTGCTGTGCAAATGTGTGTAAGACCGGTGAGCTAAAGAACCAAATTTGCATTTCTGACTGTTTTATGTTTTTGTTTGTGTGATGAAGTTGGAATAAGATAGAAATCAAAATGCAGCTATTGTCTTTGCAGCAAATATAGTGTTCATATTTTTCATCTGTTCATCCTTGTGCTTCATTTATTTAAATAATTTAGACATCTCTGTATGTAATAAAAGTTGAAGAGTACTTGTTCTTAGCAGCACGAAGTCAGTATAAGTTAAACTGCTGTGCACATCACATTTTCCCTTTTTCTTCAGGGAAGAAATACTGCTTTTCATTGGTGCTAGTTGTATTTTCTTTAAAAATTAAAACAAGGTACAGAAGGAATAAAAGGAGTTTTTTTAAGGAAGAAGGGAAAGAAAAGAGGAAGGCATTTACATTTTGTAAGAATCCTCGTGTTTGCTACATCTTGCCCTTCCTCCTTGAAGCTTTATATATTGCAGTCTTTTGCTCCTGGGGTTCAAGTGGGTGTGCATGTTTCAGAGGTTTAGAGCTTTATCTTGCTTCTTAGGCTCTCTAGAGAAGGAGTTAAATCTCAGGGTGAAAAGCTGAATAAAGCAGGTTCACTGGACCCATCCCCACCTTTCCCCCATTCTAAAAGTATCACACTTGTTTTCACCAGTGGGTTGTGTCTAGTATCTCTTTTTCTACAAGAAGCAGATAGCAATATGGCTTTATGGCTTCATTCAGACAAAACACATCCATCTTAAATTTATGTTGGAAAAAGTGCATGAAAGCACAGTCAGGTAGAGTGCCTTAAGAAATGTTTTCTTTGAAAAGAAACCACAAACTGCCACCAGCTTCTGTTCTGAAACGCAAGGCAACTCCCTGGAGTTTCCAGGCTTTGTATCTTAATTCTTAGGATCTGAGATTCAGAACATTGGTAACCCAAGGCCTTTCAAAACTACAGGATAGCCAAGAGGCTCCTTCCCTCTCCTCTGGGTAAGACCTCCTCCTTTTTCTAACAAAGGGTTCTGCCCACAAACTATGGTCACAGTATCCTAATGAAGTTGACCAGAAATGAAATA